GCCAGACTAGGAGCTTTTCTTTTTATCTGAAGTCAGAGCAGCCTATTCATCAGCAGTGTAACAATGTGCTCTAATAAACCTGTTTGGTCCAATGCCACGGTATCAGTGGTAGTGCAGCCATCACAGCATCTGCTGGAAGGCTGAGTCATCTCCAGGCTCCATGTCCACAATAGCCAAGTTCAGTGCTGTTACAATCCACTACATTAATTCCACTATCTTTCTTTCAACGGCTTTTCACCAACTCTTGTTTGTCTGCCCCACTCAGATATTTAGTGAAAGCAGCGACTGTTCCCTCCCTGTTCTCGCCTGCCTTCACTGCGGGTGGGTTGTGCTATCTGGGATCTCTCCCAGAGGCACTTTGTGCACCAGCTCCTACAGTCATTCCTGTCTGGTCTCAGTGCTAATGAGGCTCCAGAGGCCCTTCAGAACCTCAGCACATCTGATCTGGACGAGGTACAAGGCCTTTGAAGCTGACTAGTTCAGCATCTCAGTGCCACAAGCTGTGTTTGTGTGCACCCTGGACACATCGCATCGTGCTGTGCTGTCTGTACCTCGGTAGGACAGGCTATAAACTTCACATGCAATGATACAAGTGTTCGTGAGAGACCAGACAACAGCCTCAGAATGGGCAGTCATTTACAGGATGAGGCCCCCTAAGAGCTCGAAAATAGAAAACATTTCATGAGACATACCCACAAAATTAACACCTAATAACATACTACACAAGTGTCACGAAGGCTCCCAAGGTGCCTTTTTTGATTATTATCTGGGGAGTGCAATGAGCCTTTTCAATACCTGCTACACTGACCGTGGGCTGCTTCTCCTCACAAGTAGGACAGGCAGTTCCTCATAAAAATTGTTAATTGCAGTGCATCCCATTTTAGCAGTCCTTGTTCATTGGAGCAGTGAAGCACAGCTAGATCACCAAAATGCATGAGGTTTCTGATAACCCCTTTTCTGTGCCATCTCCTGTTCCACTGCTGGCCCCCAAGACCAGGGAGTCACTTTTGGCCTTCTAGAACAATTGAAGTATTGCAAGTGTCAGTGCTGAACTTCACCTCAGCTTCTGTGGGCACACCCTGGTTCTAAAGAGGAACACAATTCTCAGAATAATCATTAATTACTCAAAGAAACAGTTCTTTAAAGAACTTCTGGACCATAATCAATGTCCATCAGTATCTGTATTTGACCTGTCTCCCTGCATAGGTGTGTGCTGTTGGATTCCCAGTCCTGAAGGAACAGTGACTCTATTCACACATGTTCACAATTACACATATAAAAGCAGCCTTAGCTGGAATGGCCTCGTACTCACTTCCCATGTTGAGTTGAAAGCCATTGTTTGTATGAGACTTTTTGCCAGAAAACTCATTCACTGGAAAATCTGTGCAGAACGCCCAGAGCAGCAGCATGATCTCAGTTGAAACCTGGTTGGTGTAAAAATGTAAATGAACATTCACTGACGAGTTACCACCACAGCCCTTGACCTCAGGGTCTTGTTTTCCCTTCACCAAGAAACTTGTCAGCAAAACGTAGCTAAAAAACCCTCAGTGAAAACTACTGACAAGTGAGAAATCTGTTCTAGGGGAAAGAACTGGCTTGTGAGAGCCAGCCACGAGGAGGGGACAGGTCCTGTATTTTTGGGGTTGCAACAGGGGCAATATGAACTGCAGAAGAAAACAACAGCCTTGAGGTGAAATGAAGCAAGTCAGAGCTCAGCAACAAGGCGTTCCCCACACTACACTGAGGTGACACAACAAAACAAGTTACAAAATACGGGTCATGTTGTTTGTTTCAAACCCAGGCGAGCAGCAATGACAGCGTGTTGCTTTGTTTTAAAGGGTCCTGGGGTCACTGCAGAACTCCCCGGAGTTTTCAGAAGCCTTTTCATGCACCACGAGAGACAACATGGATCCTGCCAAGAAGTGCCGCGTTTGGTGACGGGCTGCAAACCTCACATCTCAAGGAGCTTTCCAGGAAAAGAGACCTTTGCAGCTGACTTTGAGAAGGGGAGGAGGGAAGCAAGCTGAGTGGAATATGCTGGAGACATGGCTGTAATCTTGGTAAACATGCAAACCCCAAATCATGGCCCGTGGCAGCGCCGGAGGCAGCCTGGCTGGCTGCTGCTCCCCGCAGGACCCAGCTCCCCTGGCAGGGCACAGCCAGCCCTGACTGCAGCTGTAGCCCTGCCCCACAGCCAGCGGCTTTTGGGGTTCATTCTGAACGCAGAGTGTAACACACCATCCCCCCCGGGCCGGTGAACGCAGGTTTCTCATCAGGAAGGACTCAGTGACACACATTTTAGCCGTCATAACACGACAGAGAGACAACAGTTCATATCCCAGGGTCAGGCTCTGTACCCTCTGCTGTTGCGGGAAATCTGTTCTACCAAATGCTTTCAATTTTACTTGAAACCATTTACACAAGAGGAGTCCAAAGACCTGCTGTACTTAAGTAACTTCTCACTAATTACTCCAGCGTGTATTACCTGAAGTCCCTATTAACAACAGTTAATTTACAGCTTTCCAGCCCAACTGAAATCATAGGTAATTTATTAATTTCTGTACCTATAATCTGTAAGATTGTGATCAGAGACCCTTTCACCATTTTCTAAGCTTTATCTTGCTTTCTCTAAAATTTCTCTTTTTTAAAGTTTCTAGTAATGTATAAATCATAGTTTTTATATTTAAATCTTGAGCTACACTTTTGACTTGAAGTATTGTAACATACTTTATCAGTGGCTGCATAGAACTGGGAAATTGGACTAAAGCATGGTATCGGGCAATAAGATAAAGCCTACAAAACTGAGTTCTCCAATGGAGGGCACAGACATTGGAGTTTTCAGGCTGACTGTCAGTGCTTAGGCTCTGATCCTGCACATTACTTGTACGTGTTCTGACCAATGTCAGTCCCCACATCAGGAAAGCTGCACAGTTGATTGCAAGAGTCTGAAGGAGCTTTAAGTAAGAGGGTAAAAGGCTTTAAATCTGCAATGATATGTATTAAACATCCTCATGCAGATTGCAAAGGAACTTACTGCTTTGTTTATCAAAGCAATTTCCAAACCAAGTACCAGATACCTCAGATGACTGCTACAATAGGTCTATTTAAAAACCTATGTCCTTTTAGCTGAGTTTGTCATCTGATCAAAACATTTTGATAATAAACTGAAATTATGAGCCAAATGCAGTGTGTGTTCTTCACAGGAATTATGAAAATACAAATTCTCTGCAAATAGATGTCTGTGCTTGCCCCTGAGCCCCACAGACCACGACGAAGAAATCCGTGTCACAGCTCCCGGGATCGGCTCAGGAGCGAGCCTCTCGGAGAGGGGAAACCCAAAGCGTCTGTTTTCACACGGAAACCAACATTTCACACAGGAACCAGCACTCCGCACAGCTTTGCGCAGAACAAGGACCCAAAAAAGCCTCCAGCGCTCGGAGGGAGCCGGGACGGGGCTGCAGACGGAGAGCAGAGGCAGGCGGGCCCTGCGGAGGGGCGGGAGCGCCCTCGCCTGCGCTGCGCCCCGGGCCGGGGGCTGCCATGGGCCCGGGGGGCTGCGATGGGCCCGGGGGGCTCTGACGGGCCCACCCGCCACTCACCCCGCCCGGGCTCCTGCCTGAGCCGGGGCTCTTACCTGAGCCGTGCCCGCCGCGGGCCGGGCCGGGCCGTGCGGGGCTCCAGGTGCGCGCAGATCCGGGGCTCGGGGTCCACAGCGGAGCGGGGCCGGGGGCTCCGGGGGTCCCGGGGCTCACAGCGGAGCGGGGCCGGGGGCTCTGAGGGTCCCGGGGCTCACAGCGGAGCGGGGCCGGGGGCTCTGAGGGCGGGGGCAGGTGAGACAGCGCCCCCTGGCGGAGCGCACCTGGCGCGCCCCCGCCCCACCGGGACCGGACCGGACCGGACCGGACAGGACAGGACAGGACAGGACCGGACAGGACAGGACCGGACCGGACAGGACCGGACTGGACCGGGACCCACCGTTCCCTTTGCGCCGCCACCCTGAGCAAGGCAGGGCGCTCAGCCCCGCCGGGGAGGTTTGGGGGCATCACGGGCTCACGGGCACAGGTATGGCCGGGTGTGTGAGGCGCTGCGGGAACAGCCAGGAGCAGGTGAGCCTCTTCCCTGGGCTGGTGCCAGCCCCTGGGGCAGGAGAGACGCAGCAGGTGGGCAAAGCACCCTGGAGCCACTGTCCTCGGCGTGGGACAGGGAACATCCCGCCCCAAGCTCGGGTTCACAGGCAGCTGTTATCCCTGTCCTGCCCAAACTCTGGTTCACAGGCAGCTGTTATCCCTGTCCCACACCAGCTCTGGTGCACAGGCAGGTGTTGTCCCCACAGCTCTGCTGTGCAGCAGTCATGCTCTGTGCACACCAGCACCCTCAAATGGGATGACGAGCACTGCAGGAATATGAACATGAGCCTGGAGGTTTGCAGGATGCCACATGCAGCATCCCAGGACAGGGGGACGGACACTCCTCTACCTGGTTTACTCCAAGAGCTGTCCAGGGGACACAGGGAAAGCCAGGCAGGGGCAAGCTTGGCATCCTACTGTAACAGTATTGTGGTGGCCTGACACTGAGGTTGTTGCCTCGCTTTAATAGTGTAGCACCAGCATTTTCCAAGAAATGTGAATGTGCATGGCTTTTTCTCCCTCAATCACCAGCACCTCTGTGAGAGAAAAGCACCTGGCTCTCAATCACTCATTTTGTTTTTCAGGAATGAAGAACCCCAAACCCTTTGGTACCCCTTTTACCCCCACGTGTGAGGAGAGCTTCATGCTGTGCAGCTGCACCACAAGCAGACACCCGAGTGGGTTGTCTGAAGGTGGTTACAAAAGGTCACTGCAGAGTGCTCAATGATCTTCCAACAGCGTGGGGGATGCATATTTTCTTGGAATAATCCTCTCTTTATTACCCCATAAAACTGGCAGGAACTTCTGCTTTGTGTACAGCAAGTCAGCTCGATGATATTGACGCCAGCCTAGAAAGTTATTTTGGTTTGCTCTGCCAAATCAAATCTCAAAAATCAGGTAAAGCTAAACCAGATTGTAGTGTTTACATTTTATCTCTGTAACGTTTTAATTGGAAACATTCGATTTCCAGCGTTGTGAGACACCCAAAGAGCTGTTTGGGCCAGCGGGACCTTTCAGAACTGTTTCCCTCTGTGCCTGGTAAACGAAGTGAGTTGTAAAAACACGGACGTGGTCAGTGTGGAGTCACAGCTGGGTCGGGCTGGGTGGGCTGGGACACTGAGGAGGAACTGAAGGTGAGAGCGAGTGTCTGCTCGGGGAGGAGGAGGATGGTCCCACCTGCAGGTGCTGCTCAGGTGTCACAGCACACAGCAGCCCTGCGGGCACCGCCATCTCCGGGGTTCAGCCCCTCTCCTTCAGCACATCTGATGAGACCGGATCCCCCTGCCCTCAGCTCCTTCCCAGGTGAAGAAACCGGTGCTAGGACAATTCCCAAACGGAATGTCACACTCCAGCGCTCCTGCTGACTGCTGGAGTGGCCCAGGAATGTTCCTGGCTGCACCACGGCCAAATCTGTTTGTGTTTCCATTCCTAAAGCTCAACAGACAGTGCCCACAGATGGAGACAGGATGTCTGACTGATGTGCCTTCCTCACATTCTCAAAATTATACAGATTATGTGAGCAGGAGTAAATAAATTAGTTTCTTTCTCCATTTAACCCCATCAGGGGTTGTTAGGAGTTTTCTCACATTCCCTTAAACATGCATCTTGCTGGGATCTTCCAGGCATGCCTCTCACAATCAATTCTCTGCTTTAACTGAGGATTGAATTATTAATGATTTCATCTTCTCAGAACTGCAGCTCCTCAGCAGAAAAATCTTCATGCTCAAAAGCCCAAAGCTGTCAGTGAAAATGCAGTGATCTGATGCTCAGTTGTGATTTAAATGGCAGAGTCACTGGAAGTTCACATGGCTTATTATTGACTGGAGGCATATAATTATCTCTAATTCTAATTAAAAAGGCAAACCCCCAGTACAAGACACTGAGGGCCCTGGTGAGCCCGAGGTTCAGACACACTCAGCTGTGCAACCCTCCCAGCCCTGAGCAAGCCTGGGCTTTTCTTTTCCAGGGACATGCAAGGTTTGTTTCATAACAATAGAGTCCAAGAGATTTTCCCTGTAATAAGGCTAAAAATACTTGCCCAGGCCCCATGAGAAATTAACCCTTGCCTGTTTCTACCAAGCTTGAAGTTCCTTAGCTGCTAAAATTTGCTGTTCAGCAAGCAGGCAGGATCTGACCTACCACAAGATTCCAAAAATCACTCCCTAAATTGCAAATAATCTGAGAACAGAGAAGTTAGTTTGGTGATTCTTCCTAACGGATAAAAAGTGTGCATGACATTTACATAGCTGATATTAAAAATAACTCATTTTATATGTATTTTAGTCATTAGAAATCGGAACTGAACTTCTGTGTTCTTCCCATCATCATTGTAGGTTCTTCTCACCTGTAAGACAGAAAATAGCATTTTAAAGGGTGGCAGTGCCAAGCAGGGCAGGGGAGCTGTGTGTGACACTGCTGTCACTGCAGGGCTGTGTGTGACACTGCCGTCACTGCAGGGCTGTGTGTGACACTGCTGTCACTGCAGGGCTGTGTGTGTGACACTGCTGTCACTGCAGGGCTGTGTGTGGCACTGCCCTCACTGCAGGGTGCTCTGTGTGCCACCCTCACTCACCGCAGGGCTCTGTGTGTCATCATCACTCACCACAAGGCTCTGTGTGTCACCGTCACTCACCACAAGGCTCTGTGTGTCACCGCTGTCACTCACCGCAGGCGCTGTGTGGCACTGCCATCCCTCCGTGGTCAGGAGAAGACAATGTACACCATGAGGGCACAGCCCACGATCCAGCCCAGTGCCAGCAGCAGGGGGACGAGCAGGCGGGACAGCGGGGCCTGGGCTGGCACAGAGCACAGGGTCAGTGGCACCGTGGGGAGCTCCTGAGCCGTGCCACCAAGGCCAGCCCTGCGGGTGGCACGTCCCCGCTGCTGGCCATGGCTCAGCTGCTCAGCAGGAGCAGGCCCGCTCAGAGGGGCCCAGGCAGGCCCAGGTTCTCTGCAGAGCACACGGGAAGCAGGGCTGCTGTAGCTGTGATATTTGATGAAAAACCCTCTGCTAGGATTTTTCCCCTCCTGGGAGCTGAGAGCCTCAGGACAGAAATGCAAACAATAACTGTGTGCTGCTGTGGGATGCCACAGGTGCATTTTCTATTAGTTAATGTGGATTGTTTTCAATTGGTGACCAATCACAGCCACCTGGGCCAGGGCTGTGAGCAGTCACAGGATTTTGTTATGTATTCTATTCTATTCTTGTTCTTTGTAGCCTTCTGATCTTTTTTCTCTCTCTGTTCTTCTAGTATAGTTTTAATGTAGTATTTTAATATAATATATAACATAATAAATCAGCCTTCTGAGAAAAATAGAGTCAAGCCTCGTGTCCCCACCCTTGGAGCATCCACCACGACAGGCTGCCTTTGCATCTCCCTACAAGAGCAGAATTTCATGGACCCTCTGTCGGTGTGTGCGAGCAGCACACCCTTGCCAGAAAGCAGAATAACAACCTTTGAGACCCTATTACTTACCAGTATACTACAGCCTCTTAGAGCACATCTTTACACAGTTAACAGAATTACAGGGTTCTGAGGGGATTAATAAATTATGTAAAACTATCCACAACGCCTTGCACGGTTCGGATCAAGCAGGCAGACTCAGAGGGATGCTCACTAATTCAAGGATTGCCACGTTGTTCTTCTAAAGCTCTGCACAGCACACCTGTCCCACCAAGACACTGCACAGTGTGCCTGCCAGAGGGACAGAACTGCACGTGCTGCCATGGAAATATTAAACACAAACACATGACCAAACCCTGCCCTGAACCCAGCTGTCCTTCTGCCCCCCAGCTGTTTCATGTGGAGACCTTCACTGCTGTGACACCAGGTGAAGCTGCTGGCACGGTTCCCTGCACTTTCTCTGAAGGCACTTTCTCTTTTTGCACTTTCTCTGAAGGTCGAATCACCAAGGCAGGGCTGGGTCCTGCTGGGGGGCACAGAGGGGTTTGTCAGAGCTCTGCTGACGCTGCTGACTGGGGGCTTTGTTAGGGGAGCTCCATTTTTAACCAGTATCAGGGCAATGGCTATCAATGAAAACTCACATAAATAGTGTTCAGTGTCCTTTTGTACCTTAGCAGAAATTCACTCTCCCTAGATATCAGAGTCAATGGTGCAAAAAAACCAGGAGAAAAGTCTTTAAAAACTCTGAATGTAGCTATGAAGATGTATTAAAAAGCTCCCTTCACAAGTGTTACCTGAGTAACTGTGCACCACAGCTACAGTTGTAAATTTAAGTGAAATAAATAAAAATTTACAATAGATATAAAACACATTTTTATAAACTGCCTTTTTTCCTTGGAGAAAGTGAAGTGTGCTTACAATGGAAAGGTCATTATTAAAATTTTATTTTGCTTTGCCACTTGAGCTTTGTGGGGTTAAAATCCAAATTATTGTGTGTTCACTTGGCACTACACTTGGAGCTCAGCTCCACACAGTATAACAAAAATGCTGCCAAATATAACTCATTTTACACACTGTCCTATTGTGTCAGCTAACCTGGAATGACAACTACAAAACATAATGAAAACAAAACTGGTAGGATTCAAAAATGCAGGAGGAACCCAAGCTGTTAATGGAATTAGCTTTTAAAGAGATTACACTTTCTAACTGAAAAGTAAAATATATATAGTGTATCAGACAAGAATACAGGTAGCTGGGTGTATTCACACTGCATTGCTCAGATCTGTTAATTTCAGTATATTATTACACTCCGTGTAATTGTGCCTCTTACCTGGTTCTGCCATTCCCCCTCTGCTCGTTCAATGGCAGGTGAAGGTTTGCCTCTGCAGTTGCTCTGGGAGCCCTGGGATGCTTTAAATAGAGCAATATTTGGAATGTGCTGCAGCTGCCTGGCTCGCTGGTGCCAGGGCTTGGCTAGGAGCATTCAATTGTCTAAAAAGGCAGGAACTCGGGGGATCAAGGTTACTCTGCCCGTTCCTCCAACTGCACCTCTGTTTCAGAGCAGTCTGACTAAAGAGGGGTTTCTTGAAGGGGAGGGAAACAAGGGTGAAAACTGCTTTATGGTCCCCTTACAGCCATGAAGCCCCCGTGGTGAATGCAGCCAACACTCAGGAGCACCCCTGTTCCTGCAGCATGACAGGGACCTGCTGTGTTCTGAGCCACCCAAGCTTCTCTCATCCCTGAGCATGTCCTGCATCTCACCTGCAGCACGGCTGGGAGGGACAGCCCTCCCCCTGCACCCCTCAGGAGGGGCATTGCATTACTGCTTCTCCAAAATGGGAGCAGCCTTGCAGTAAAACTCAGCCTGTGTAACACTCATCGTGCCATGCGCTGTTCAGCCTATCACAACATTTGAGACACGGGAATAAACCATGAGCTTCACTTTCTTTGTCTGCCTTTGCCACAAAGCAAATTCTTTTGGGATAAGATCCAGTTTGTTGTGAAAAGAAATATGACTCTGTGTAAAATATTTATTGGGGGAAAAAAATCTCTGATACAATAACTTTGTTGGCAGCACAGCTGTTCCTGTAAGAATCCTATCTGGCTTGGTTCTGCTAATTATATCTATCCATCTGATCTCGTGGAAATAATTTCCAGCAGGAATCATGTATTCCTGACAAGACCATCTGACCTTCAGGGATTGGGATCCTTCCAGGCCCAGTTGCCACAAGCAAGGGCAGCGAGTCACTGCTGCTCACAGCAGTTTGGGTAATGCTCCCCAGTGAGTGCTGCCCTGCACGTCCACAGCTGGACTGGGAGGAGATCAAAGCTCTAACTGCAGCAGAGAAGACAGTAACAGTATAGACATCATTTTAAACAACACATCTTCTGTTGGGAGCTGAGGAATGAACTGCAGACATCAATTCTACAACAGACCTCAGTCCAACAGCCCCAAAAAAAAAAAAAAAGCAGAGGGACAGTTTCAAAATACAAGAACAAGGAGAGGACACAAGGCTTAAGAAAACACTCAGAATGATCTGTGGCAAAACGCAGCTACTGCTTTGCTGCTGAAGAACAATCCACAAGAACAATTCCCTCGTGTTGGGAGCTGAGGAATGAACTGCAGACATCAATTCTACAATAGACCTCAGTCCAACAGCCCAAAAAAAAAAAAAAAGCAGAGGGACAGTTTCAAAATACAAGAACAAGGAGAGGACACAAGGCTTAAGAAAACACTCAGAATGATCTGTGGCAAAACGCAGCTACTGCTTTGCTGCTGAAGAACAATCCACAAGAACAACAATTCCCTCATTTCTATTTGTGTGCCCAGCTACGTGATCTTGGTTTATGTTTCCCCCCTCTGTGCTGGGACACTGAGCTACTCAATCTCCAGAGTTACCCTTGGATGGGCAGCTGGGCTCAGAAATGAGACTCCTTTTCAGCCTCCAGCTCACTGAGGTGCTCACACAGGTTGGTCTCAGGGCAGCCTTTGGGGCAGCATCCAGGACTTCACTGCCATTAACTGCTCAAAGCTGGGAATCCCTTCAAATGCTTTAAGTGGCTACAGTGCTTCGAGGGAGTTAGGGCCAAAATCAGGAGGAGGAACAGGGTAAGGCAGCAGGGCTGCAAGGCTTTTTGGGAGAGAAGAGATTTTAGGGGAAAAATCCCTTTAGTGCCTGGTGTTTGGGAGGAGCTGTCAGAACCTCACTGACCTCCCCCCACTTTGCAAAGCAAATTGGCCATTTTTAGTGTTAAAACACCCACTATGTTTAGAGCACATCCCAGTCTTCATCACTGCATCAGTAGCCAGAGATCAAATACTGGAATGTCACATTTCTGTCTTTGTTGCTGTACTTGTAACCTTTGGGAATCTGAACTCATTTGCAGGAGGCTGGCAAAGAAATGTTTTGTTTTACAAATTCTATATGATCCCTATAAATAACTGCAGCCTACACTGCTTTAGAGGAGACTAGAAGGACAGACCAACTCATCTTCACAAAGAGAATGCTCCAAGTAATAAAATCATTATGGCTTTGTAATATTGGTATTAATTTTTAAATCATATTTCTTTCAATTGATCTTTTTTCCTTTAAGAGAAAACCCTGATTTACTAGCAAACCAAAAGCCAAGTTTATAAGTCTTGAATTATTTTATGACTTTCCCATACTCTTTTGTGACCTGCAGACTAACATATAAGAATATCAGATTATTGCATTTACAAAATAGGTTTATGTGTGGAAAAATTGTTTAATGAAATGTATTTTATTAGTCACACTAATCTTAGCATTTGAAAGCTCCCTTAAAAATGGCTAGACATTACTTCTACTCACATTTCCATCATGAAAATAAGGCTGATTTATTTGATAACTATGCAACCGAAGACCTGAAAAAATCCATGTATTAAGCTACTAAATAATTAATTCCACATGCTGCTTCCTAGGGCTCTGGGTCTACACATGATTTCTGCTGGCAGAGAGAGGCATCACTCAGCTGAGTGCTGAGATACCTGCAAAACCCAGCAGCAGATATTGTGGGGAAAGAGCAGCACGGTGCAGAGATCTCCATGAGCCGTGCCATGGCTGGACCAGTCCCCAGAGTCACCTTCCCCAGCAGAGATCTGCACATATCCTGCTCACGCGAGGACTCCCTGGGTTTAAAAACTGGGAACAGCAAGGTTGGGGCAAAACTCAAGATCAGAAGAAAACCTCTGATAAATCCAAGCCGTACCTGGGTGCAGGGAGCCCCCAGCAGTTCCTGGGAGTGCCAGGGAGCTCCACACGCTGCAGATTTAATGAAATGTATTTTATTAGTCACACTAATCTTAGCATTTGAAAGCTCTCTTAAAAATGGCTAGACATTACTTCTACTCACATTTCCATCATGAAAATAAAGGCTGATTTATTTGATAACTATGCAACCGAAGACCTGAAAAAATCCATGTATTAAGCTACTAAATAATTAATTCCACATGCTGCTTCCTAGGGCTCTGGGTCTACACATGATTTCTGCTGGCAGAGAGAGGCATCACTCAGCTGAGTGCTGAGATACCTGCAAAACCCAGCAGCAGATATTGTGGGGAAAGAGCAGCACGGTGCAGAGATCTCCATGAGCCGTGCCATGGCTGGGCCAGTCCCCAGAGTCACCTTCCCCAGCAGAGATCTGCACATATCCTGCTCCCATCTGCTCACGCGAGGACTCTCTGGGTTTAAAAACTGGGAACAGCAAGGTTGGGGCAAAACTCAAGATCAGAAGAAAACCTCTGATAAATCCAAGCCATACCCGGGTGCAGGGAGCCCCCAGCAGTTCCTGGGAGTGCCAGGGAGCTCCACACGCTGCAGGCTCAGCCCAGGAATGCCAGCTGCACCCTGGGTGCTCCTGGAGGGGCTGCCTCGCTTCCACTCATCCTGCAGACACCCAGCCAGCTCACCTTCTCTTTCCTCTTCCAGGGGATTCTGCCTTCAGCTTCTCTGATTCCATACCCCCATTAGCAGCCCATCCACCTGAAGGAGAACATGAGAGGGATCCTTGTCCTTGCTTTTCCTATAGCTTATATATTCCTTTTTAAATGAACCTTCCATGCTGGGAAAAATGCACTTTTAAATTTACCTTGGAAAATCAGTTAATTCAGAAAAGCTTTGCAAGCCTTGAAAAGCTGTGAAGATATTACCAAGTTTTACCTGACCAGAAATAAAGTTCTCAAAAGCCATAAAAACAGTCAGTTTCATGCACAAATTAAAAGCCAATCTTATTGGTAAGAAGGCAGCAGTTTTAGGAGGAGGAAGACTGCAACCACCGAGTGCTGTGAGAAAAGGTGTGTGAAGAGCAGCAGCTCCAAACTGGTGCTGCAGTTCCCTCTTGTGACAGCCAGAGCAATTCCCATTTGCAGGGAGCCAGGCGGTTCAGTCAGCAGAGCCACTGCAGCTCTGTGCACACACAGGTGTGGGTTGGGCACTCTGGACAAACTAAACCTGAAACATCCCTCGGGGAAGATGTATTCACTCCTGGGGGCTTTGGAAAAGGAGTTTCCCCACCCTGGGGTGCCTTTGCCTGTGCTCACATTAATCCCCCAACAGCTGGAGGCAGAGAAGCACCTGCTGCCCCTCCCTCCCTGAGGTGCCTCTGGCATGGGCCAGGATGCCCATGGTGACAGGCACGGGCACTGATCAGAGCCCCTGAGCAACAGGGGCAGCACTGCAGGCAGGAACAGAGCCCTGGCTGCTTGCTTGCCATCAGCGCTCCCTGCCCCTCTCGTGTCTCCAGGTATTTCACTGTATTTCACCCCAAACCAAGCTCCCAGCACTGAATGGGCTTGGCTTTTGGAAGCCAGTCCTGGTTTGGGTTGGGAGGGACCTTAAAGGCTCTCCTGTCCCACCCCTGCCATGGGCAGGGACACCCTCCACAGCCCAGGACACAACAAACCCTGTCCAACCCTTTAATGTTTGCAGAGTGTCCCTGAGTGCCAGCTGTGCCAGTCACAGCACTGCTCTGTCACACCCCTGCAGTGTCCCTCCTGAGTGCCAGCTGTGCCAGTCACAGCACTGCTCTGTCACACCCCTGCAGTGTCCCTGAGTGCCAGCTGTGCCAGTCACAGCACTGCTCTGTCACACCCCTGCAGTGTCCCTGAGTGCCAGCTGTGCCAGTCACAGCCAGCAGTGCCCTCTGGCTCCTGGCACACTCTGGTCTGGTACCCCCCAGCCCTGCCCGGCTCAGGCTGTGCCCCCGGGCACTGTGGCACCCGGACCCGCGGGTTTTGTCGCTGCCCGGCTCGGAGGGAGCCGGCGGGCCCCCAGCAGCCCCCCGGGAGCCGGGCAGCGGCAATGCCCCCTGGAAGGTCCCTGCTCCA